TGGGCGCAGAGGAGGTGAAGGGCGAAGGTGGTTCTTCGGAGGTGAAGGGCACTGTGTGGGATAACAAGGGAGAGTGAGGGTGAAGAGAGAGACGTACCTGGTGGAGAGGAGGTCGGCATTGGTGTTGACGTCATCACTCGTTGGTCGTCAAGTTGTCTGGTTGCTTTCATGCTGTAGTTGTCGGGATAGGCTGTAGAGTAGATAGGGCACCTGGCGCCATTCAAGAGAGAGAGCTACATTGGGTTATGCTGTTGGTGTTGCCTGATTGGGCTTGGACATTGACTCATGATTCTTCTGTATCGTTCTCAAATGGATGGTTACTCGGTTCCATTGTGCTATCTGCTCTTGCTTTGAATACTTGGACTGCAGTGTGATTTTGCAATCTGGATTTCTGTGCTTCGTCCACATTCATGTTCCTTGCATTTTGGTATCGGAGCTGGTTCGATTCGCCACTTACCTTGGTGCGCTGGCGTTATACAGACTTGGTGCGTTGATGATGCTTCTTCGCAGTTGGTTCTTGTGACGTTAGGCCAACAATAGGCGCACGACCTGGGTAGAGAGGTGTGCGCCGGAAGGCTATACAGCATGGGAAGCCGTGGTTACAGCGGAATGTATGATTGGTGATGAGAGCATGCTGATGTGGCATTTAGCTGAGGTGGCACTGCATTGCGTTGTGGGTGGTACCGAGGCTACGATCGGTCATCAAATGCACACTCAGCTCAATTGGTGAGAAATTTGTGGTTGGGGGCAGCTATCTTAGGGTACGTTGTTCCCTTACCTCATCTACTCTCTCAATCTCTTCTTACCGCGAGGAAGTGAGTCCAACTTGAGAGTCCTCTCTTTTGGTGAGGTGTCGTGTGCGCGCTACCTTGAGAGACGACAATCTTCCCGGAAGCATCTGGAAAGAGAAAGGGTGGTGCCTCTGAAGGGCCCTGGTCGAAGCACTCGGGTCACGGTCACCATGCCAACCCAATGGGAGTAGGTCACGCATGCGATGGGTGCTTGTCCATTTTGGCACTTTGCTGCGCTATAGAAGTCGTGCCGGGTGTGCCAGCCCATAAGAGACGCTTACCAGACCGTCTATAAATACTTCTGGCTGGGGACTCGGTTGATACTGGTTGTGATCGTCGTCCTGTCTGCGACGTTAAATAATTCTTGAGGAGATGGGGGCTCTCCTTAAATCCCTCCTGATCAGCCAGATCAAACCGGGTAGTAAGGCTCGTTCCGTACGAGGGTAAATAAGAGTGGATGGGCTGGCTTTCTCGGCAATGACTTGGGGCACAGGGGTGGGCCGACATTACACACGAAGACACTGTTGCTCAAAGATGCTCTTCGGTATTTTGGATTGAGGGGAGGGTAGGCTCTAATTGGTGCTCAACTGAAAACACAACCATACCCACTGTTCATACATCTGCAACATATTTTATTTTTATTATTGATTAGTTGGTTGACAGACTGCTAACACCTCACAGACAGTTTAGTGTAGGACTGTTGTATACTACCATAGCCAATTCTGTGCAAACTTCTGTAAGTGAACTAATCATGATAATACTAAAATATGTTGACAGTCTTTTGTGAATGTTGTAGGCTGCCACTTGATCGGTCAAGTAGGGGACCTGCCGGACACAATTACTTTTAGAAAATTAGGTGTCGGTCAGACATATGTTGTGGTAGGACTCCAACAGGGAGTTGTAGTACAGATAGTGTTTGCCTAACTGATGAGTGGGTCAGACACCGATGAGGGTAGAGTTGACGATCGGAGGCTGACATGCTCAAGATCACTTAGGGTCCCGCGCGTGTTTCAGGCCCTACAACCGGGAGACGAAGGACGACTTCGGGCCGAACGCAGAGCCCATGCCCTTGCAGCAGCTAGGGAGGCAGCAAACGCAGCAGCTAGAGAACAGGCAGCAGCAGACAGAGCAACAACAATGGCTAACGGCGCAGCCTCTGCTGCGTCCTCGTCTGGGATTCAGTTGGGAATGCCCTCTGGGCCCGCAGGTACTTTCGGGTCAGTAGGTTCAAGTCAGTCCACAAGTCAAATGGCGGGCTCGCAGTTAAGCCCGTTGACCCCACACGGTAGGGAGCTCCTAGAGCTCCAACAGGTCGAAAGGATCCGCAAGCGGTTAGAGAGGAAACTGAAGCAAGCTACCGACAGAGAAAGAGAGATTAAAAATAGAACAGCCAGGCTTGATACGTTAGAGGCAGACAAAGCTGCATTAGAGGGTTTGGATGAGTCAGCCATGTCTGACCAAATGAAAACATTGAAGAACAGTGTGTTGTCGCTGCATGCGCATGTGGACAGCAGACTGGATTTCATGCAGAACTCTTTGGACCAGATCTTGGGCCTTTTGCAAAGGCCAGGATTTCGGCCAGCAGCGCAGTCGCCGTTGCCGTTAACGACGATGTCAGGCCCCTTTCCGGTACAAGCTGGCACACAGCCAAGTGGTACGTCTGCAGCAGCCGCACAGATTGTTGCTTCTTCTTCTTCTGGGTCAGCGGTGGTAGCTACACCATCACCGAAACAACCTGTTCCTCAACAGGGACAGCAGCAACGTCAATGGTACCCAAAGACCCCTATGAAACCGCCCCTTGCCTTCTCCGGAGAGAAGAAGGACGAGGAACTCAACACATGGTTGAGAACGGTTCCGGTGTGGGTAAGGGCAAAGAGGACTATGCAGGAGGAGGAGGTGACTGCTGCTGCATCTTACCTTGAGGGTAAGGCAGCCAAATGGCTAGATGGATTAGTAGCAAAGGTCGGGTACAGACGACGTATGGCGGACTGGGCTAAGACCCAACGTTAGAAGAGTTCCTAGACATGGTAGAAGCTCGTTGGCATAATCCACAGCAGGCACAAATTGCCACTGGTGCGATGCTCAGGCTAGACCAACGAAAGTTCAAGTCAGTCAGAGAGCTAACGACTACCGTAGAGAGCCTCATAGTCGTTCCCGGCATACGCTACGATGACCAGGTCTTATTGACCATGTGTGAGATGTCTCCCAGAGAATCTCAAAAATTTGCTGGCCAGCGAGGCTCGCCTCGAGTATCATTCGTTTGAGACCTTATCTAGAAAAGCCTTAGACTTAGAGGCTACTCTAGGAAGTGCTCAACCTACTTCAGTAGACGCGAGGAAGAAGAAGGGTCCACAGGAATGGAAGAAGAAGGGGAGTAAATTGATGATGGTTGAGCCCGATGGGACTCAAACTGAGATCGAGGAACTCACAGACCTGTTGGACAGTTCAGAGTACGACGGCGAGAAGACCGCTGAGGGTAGCACCCTCGCCGCAATAGTAAGAACTAACGCGGGTGGTCGAGGGAAGGTCAAAAGAGTCAAGGGCAGGCCGCCTCCAACCAGTCCAAAGTTGCTGATTGGGTCAAGGCAGGTCTTGATCAAGAAGTGTGGCGGGACCGTAGAGTGCGTGGTGCTTGCATCAACTGTAGTGAATACAGACACACCCAGCACAAGTGCAAGAATGCAAAGGTCACGCAGAAGATACCTCCTAAGGTAGGGGTACCTTCTTCCCAAGCATCTAGCTCGGGAAACATGTGAGGCCGGTGGAAGTTTTAGCTGCTTGTACTCATGGTGAAGTGGGCCAGATACCCTCCCCAGTTCATGAGCGGGCCATAGCTAATGACTCTTTAGTCACCCTGCAGACTCATCCAGACCAAACTATGCTTTGTACGTTGGATGTGTCTGAAGCCTTAGAAGATTTGGAAAGCGAATCTTGGGTGGCACTAAGAAGAGGTCCTAGAGGGGAACATTTCATTGTGGAAGTTGATGTAGAAGGCCGCAAATGTGGTGCCTTCATAGACATCGGCTCCATGCGGAATTACATAAGTCGCGACTGCTTGGAGAGGCTGCACCTACATGACCGGGTACAGCACCTTAGTAGACCAGTAGCATCTACTTTAGCCAATAAGGAGCGCATGGTGGTCACAGACTATATCAAGGATGTCGTCTGTACCTTCTCCTATGGAGGAGGGGAACTGAATCATAATATTTTGTTCCTGATTAGCGACGACTTACCATTCGATATGTTGTTAGGAATGTACTACCTTGAGGTTGCCGAACCCCAGTTCGACTGGGACAAGAAAGGTCTAAAGCATAAGTTGTCGGATGGGAGAACAGTGAGGCTGACTAAGTTCAAAGCCAGTAGTATAATCGATACCTATGGCTGCTTGTGTGCATCAGCATTCTATAACTATTATAAACAAAACCAAGAGGAGGGTATGTACCTAGTGTATGTCTCTGAGAAAGGGGCGGCCGTTAAAACACCCCCAGAGATAGAACACGTCGTTGCTAAGTTCCCTGATCTGTTTGAGGAGCCTACAAGAGTCATAGAGAGGGAGGTTGTCCATGCCATAGAAATCATTCCAGGGAGTAAAACCCCAAAGGGAAGGATCAATAGGATGGCTCCGGCCGAGTTGGACAAACTTCGGTGACAACTGAAAAAGCTGACAGAAAAGGGATGGATTCAGTCGAGTACTTCCCCCTTCGGATCTCCAGTGCTATTTGTACCGAAGAAGGGGGGTACATTGAGAATGCGCATTGATTACAGAGGCCTCAATGCCATCACAGTGAAAAACGCAGAGCCTCTACCTCGCATAAACGACCTATTGGATAGGGTGCAGAGATGTAAGTACTATAGCAAGATAGACTTAAAGTCCGGCTACCATCAGATCGCAATAAGACCTGAGGATCAACACAAGACAGTTTTTCAGACCAGATACGGTCTGTATGAGTTTGTAGTGATGCCCTTTGGTCCTTGCAATGCGTCGGGTACATTCCAGCATGCCATAAATAGGATCTTCCATGACCACTTAGATAAGTTTGTCGTTGTCTATCTTGACAATATTCTTATCTTTAGTAAGTCTGTCGAGGAGCATGCACAGCACGTTGAGACTGTACTTTCACTCCTGCGACAGCACAAGTATAAGGTCAACCTAGAGAAATGTGAGTTTGGACGCACTAAGATCTTATACTTGGGTCATGAAGTATCCGCGAAAGGTATTAGGCTGGAAGATGCGAAGGTGGCTAGTATAAGGGACTGACCACAACCTCAGACTGTTACTGAGGTCAGATCTTTCTTAGGAATGTGCGGCTACTATAGAAACTTCGTGAAGAACTATTCCACAGTCGCCTCTCCTTTGACTGATCTAACTCGACTTGTCACGCCGTGGGACTGGAGTGATGAGTGTGAGGCTGCTTTCAAACGATTGAAGCATGCACTCATGAATCATGAAGTTCTTATGGTGCCCGATCCTCAGAAGCCATTCATAGTGACCACTGATGCAAGCCAATACGGCATTGGCGCAGTGCTGGCTCAACAAGATGGGAAAAAGTTGAGACCGATTGAGTATATCAGCAAAAAGATGCCATCTAAGAAACAAGCAAAGTCCACCTATGAAAGGGAACTCTATGCTCTCTACAAAGCACTTGTCCATTGGAGGCACTTTCTGTTGGGACGGTTTTTCTACTTGAGAACTGACCATCAGACCCTCAAATGGATCAAGACTCAACCGGCTCTTTCTGATGCACTCAAGCGCTGGATTGCGGTCATAGATCAGTATGACTTCAAGCTAGAGTATATGAAGGGAGAGTACAACAAGGTTGCAAATGCGCTGTCCCGTAGAGCAGATTACCTAGGGGCACTAGTTTCTGAGTTTGGTGTATCTGAGGAACTAACTCAATCGTTGGTGGGAGCCTATCAGGAAGACCCTGTCACGATGGACATCATATGCAAGCTTCAGGCAAAAGACAAGGCCACAGAAGATGAGTTTGTGATGGTGGACGGGCTTCTCTTTCGTGATAAGGCCGGATTCAAAAGGTTAGTTGTTCCATCTAGTGAACGCTTGCGTAGTTTATTCTTAGGAGAATGTCATGACGCAACCGATCACTTTGGCTACAAAAAGACGAGTGTCAATTTAGTACATCGATTTTGGTGGTCCGGAATGCTAGAAGATGCAAAGAAGTATGTTGAGACCTGTCAGGTCCGTCAGCGGGATAAACCGTGAACTCAAGCACCACTTGGGTTGCTGAAGCCTTTACCTATCCATGCTGGTCCGGGACAGAGTGTTTCCATGGACTTCATGGACACCTTGGTGACCAGTAAGAGTGGCAAGAGGCACATCTTTGTCATCATAGATAGATTCACCAAGAACGCTAGACTAATTGCCATGCCAGAGACTGCAAGGACTGAACACGTCATCAAGTTGTTTCTGGACAACTGGGTGCGTGATTTTGGACTACCGAAGTCAATCGTTAGTGACTGAGATGTCCGCTTCACAAGTGAGCTGTGGAAGAAGACTGATGAACAGATGGGCAGTCAACTTCAGATGACTTCAGGGCATCATCCCGAAGCCAACGGATAGGCCGAGCAAATTAACAGAGTTGTACAACACCTGCTGAGGCATTACATCAAGCCCAATCAGGATGATTGGGATGAGAAGTTGCCTCTCATCGCCAGCCTGTACAACAACGCTGTACACAGCAGTACCAGCGTTAGTCCTAATCAGCTGCACTTGGGATGGAAGCCTAGATCAACTCTGAACTTCCTCCTACCTGAAAACCGACCCTCTGCAACTCCAGGCACACTTGAGTATGGTGTGCAGTATGAGAAGTTGCTGCAGCAAGTTGTCGAGCACATCAAGAAAGCTCAGCAAGCAATGATTGCTTCTGAGAACAAACATCGTCGACAGTCCTCATTTCAGGTAGGGGAACGTGTCTGGGTCAAGGCTAGTGAGCTAGGACAGGAATTCGGAATCTCTCGTAAACTAATGCCTCAATATTTTGGTCCCTGGGAAGTCTTGGATATAGTTGGGGATGAGATGGATGGTCCTACCTATGTTATCCGCATCCCTGGTAACCTACGCACTCACCCAGTCTTTCATGCCTCAAAGCTTGCACCTTTTGCTGAGACAGACCAATTCCCTTCAAGGAGATCGATGCTGCCCCCAACCATGGATGGCCAAGAGGACATCGACGACATTGTGGATCACAGAGACTTGCCTGTTCCAAAGCCGCTGGGTCGAGGAAGACCTCCCAAACCCAAGAGAGAATATCCCGTTAGATTCAGGCATCATACGGATCCAAAAGAAGATCGGTGGTTCACCAGAGAGGAACTGATTGACACAGCTTCTCAAGTGGTGGCAGAATATGACAGAATGTTAAAAGGGAAGGCACCTGCGAAGTAAGCATCTCAGCGGACTTTCAAAGCTAAGGGGGATGGAATGTGAGGATTGAGCCCTCAGAGGGGCCTTGCCGTGGTATACATGTTCTGGGCCAAGGCCCCCAGCAAGCATCGTGCCCGCCCTAAGTGAAGGCGGGCCAGCAAATCAACGAGAGCCCTCTGTTCAAACATTTCACGAAGTGGGGTCCATACAGTTGCCGCACGCCAGTTGGTTGGAGTGCACCGAGTACCGGATCTCTGCAAATTGCAGAAGGACGAGGGCCCATCTCAGTTGGTTAGGCCCTGAGCACATAAACGTGAGGCCTACATTGCATACTGGAAATAGAGGCCGGAAATGCCAATGGGATACCGGTCCACTATCTGAATCTGGATGCAAGCCTGGATGAAAGAGGCACAACTGTACTGCGTGGGCCCCAACCGCATTGGGCCTGGGTACAGGTATTGGGGCCCAGGCGCAGGCTCAAGGGAGGCCGCCCACACGCAACACTGGCATATAGGCAGAGAGGGCGAGTGGGCAGGGATCTTGGCCATTGCGAGCAAGGCCGGCACGCTGCTGCATTGCGAGTGTGCCTGCGCTGCGCTAGGCTGAGTGAGGGCAGGCTGGCGCTAAGCGGTGGAGCGCAGCCTGGGCGCAGGGCGTTGGCGGCCATAGCCGGGCTGCCTGTGGGCGCAGAGGAGGTGAAGGGCGAAGGTGGTTCTTCGGGGGTGAAGGGCGCTGTGTGGGATAACAAGG